AACAAGGAATGAGTCATTGAAGGCCAAAGTTGTTTACCTCGCGAAATGCCGCGCTGTTCGAAGTCTTTGTCGTACGGCTACTGCTCATGCTGACCTTGATGCTTAAAACTCTCGGCAGCCTGCGTCCTTTTAATGTCCAACCTTCCGAAATGCTGCGATGTTCGAAGTCTTTGYCGTACTGYTACTGCTTGAGTTGACCYTGATGCTTGAAACTCTCGGCTGCCTGCGTCTTTTTAATGTCTAACTAAAATTTACATGACGCATTGGAATTTTAGTATGKTATAATTTTACAAKGCTTTTTTWATGAGATGATTCGAGATGCGCGGACGCAWCTCTCGATAARTGATGAGTGATGACTTGCTCACGTAAGACRTGAGACTTACAAACAGATCTCTATTTAATRAGAGAAATTTGAGWAATGAATTAGTATGTCAAATAAAAATTTGACAAAATTAATGAGTGCTCTAAACCACTCAGCACACTGACAAAACACAGGTGCTTTTACTGAAATCTTGTGGGAGAACTCCCTGAGTCGCCTCGTGCCGATATTTAAAAATTTACACAATCACTTGTAATGGCAATATTTGAACTAAGAGAGTTAACAAAATTTAGTGCGAAAAATGTAAAGGCAAAATAAAAGTGAATCCGGCTCGAAGGACCAAAAATGTATAGTATTTAGGGCTGAGAAAATGTAAAATTAGAATAGAAAGTGAATCCGGCTCGAAGGGCCACAAAATGTTTGATAGTACGTCTAGTAGTTCGGCAATACAAGAGGCGACTGCCGGCGCGACGCACATAGCGCGATGAGCTTGCTAGCCAAAGACTCGCACATTAATACACACATTACCCGCACCAAGTAGTCCGCGACAATACCGTGGACTACGCAACACAGACACACCTGACTAACAAACGCGCTGTAGTGACAATACCACTACAGACACACTCACACTTATTACATAGCCCAAAAAGTGGGGGTTTCTTAATAATATATGTCAATCCTGAACAACAGCCATAGACAGAAACAAAAATTGTAGAATATATTTGTTGGTAAAAAAATACCGTGACTTATCCTAAATAAATATAATATATCCTCTTTTGTAGCTCAGGTAGATGATAGTCTTTCTTTGAATTAGAGATATCATTATAGGTAAGCATAAAAACTATTTTCTTTGCTACTAATTCCTCTAGATGATTAAAAAAGAATAGAACAATTTTTGTCGTATTGTTTTGGTTTCATCGGGTTTTAATTAAAACGATTTTAAAATCTATTTTTTATTTCATTAGTTTTATTTTATAATTTTAAGGATTTAAAAAAAATTTGATGAGACTTGACTCCAGCGATCTGTAGGTTACGAGTTTAGATAGATACTCCCTACGCTTAAACTGTCATTCAAATCAGATTTAAAAAAAATATATATATTTATATTTACCTTCCAGCTCATGCAGACTCAAGCACACATAAAACTTACAAATACAGACTATACCACTTTTTTCTTTATTTTGGCCGTCAGCTCATTTAGACCTTAATTTTTTGTCACCTTTTAATCACTTTTATCAAGTATTATTAGTTCAATCAAGCATATTTAATCACAGTATTAAGTCACCTTTAAATATTCTACAATGTTTTTAAATTTTTTTTCTGTGATATATCTTATAATCATTTGATTTTTTTGTAAAATATTGCAGATAATACAATTATTATATTCTATATATTTCATAGTTGGTAATTATATTATTTGCGAAATAAATAATTTATTATAAATTTCTCAATAAAATAGAAATATTTTTAAATAGAAAAGAAATGACACGTTCATTCTTTATTTTGACCGTCGGCTCGTTTGGACCTTTTACTTTTGTCACATACCTACGTGCTTATCTCTGTTTATTCTTCTACCCTTCTATCGTTCCTACTTACAAACAGTTTTAGTATCGAAATAATATGTATCTACGCTTCGTAGTATGCAATCGCACACAAACACACACATACACAACATGAAGTGACAACTACGAAGTAATTATAAAGTAGTTATAAAGTATTATTTCTGAAATATAGAAAAAAAATTAAATTTAAAAAAATTAAAAATCAAATCCAACAAAAATTTTTTTTGTAAATAAATAAATTATAAAAAATAAAACAACGTAATTGAATATTGGATTTTAAATTCGTTGTATTTCAAAACTCAATCAAACGAAAAAATTAAACAATTGTTCCTTTCTTTTTACAGTATCTTAAAGTATTAGTGGCAAAAACAAAAAATACTTGTGTGCGCTAACCCACGATAAAGATATCTCAAATTAAAAGGAAGAGTG